ACGGTGAATGCAGTCGGACCTAGAGCGCCCTTGAATCTAATTGTTTATCTGAGAAACTCATTCATAGAGATTGATCGCTTGTGGTCTGACTAAAGTGAGAGCTAAAGGACAAGAATGCATTGGTTTGTGATGAACATCTTGCTGGTCAAAGCATCCGTTTGCCACTGTTCGTTGGTTATTTATAAACCAGATTTGCCAATGTCAAATGTATATATATAATATAATTTAATATAATGTAATATAATATAATATAATATAATATAGTATAGTATAATATAATATAATATAGTATAATATAGTATAATGTAATGTAATGTAATATAATATAGTATAGTATAGTATAGTATAATATATATATATGTATATGTATGTATTTTTATCAAAGTTATGTCATGTCATGTGATGTGATGTGATGTTATGTAATTTAATGTAAAGTAAAGTATGTATGTATGGTATGGGTATGGGTATGGGTATGGGTATGGGTATGGTTATGGTTATGGGTATGGGTATGGGTATGTTATGTATGTATTAATGTCTGCTTGTGCTTGCCTGTCTGTATGTAATGTAATGTAATGCAATATAATATAATATAATGCAATGTAATATAATATATTATAATATAATATGATGTAATGTAATGTAATGTCATGTAATGTAATGTAAATTTACACAATCACACAGACACACGTATATATATATATATACACACACATAAATTCATATCACCCACAAGACTGCCTCTAACCTCAGGTGGTTCCGCCGATGAAGAGTCCCGGCGTCGCGACGAGCGCCGTCGCGACGACGAGCGACGCGACGAGCGGCGCGACCGATCGGAGAGGCGTTTCAGATGGGTGTTTCCTAAACATTGGGTACCCCCAAATCATCCAAAACTAGACCATTCATTTTAGTATATTTTAATATTGAAACCTATGGTTTTGGGGATCCCCATTTTGTTTGTCTGAAGGGTGTCTAATGATTATTTAATGGCAGATGGTATGATTTAACAGTGAATGAATGGTGATTTAATGGGGATTTAATAGGGATGTTTACTATGAGATGGGTGTGTCTGAAAATGGGGTTTAATAGGGAAACAACGATCAAAAAATTATGACTGACCATCAAAAACAGGATCTAACCCCCTAAGGATGGAGACTTGACCAAGGACATATAGATCAAAACTTGTGATTTTTCCAAATTCATGGGGGGAATGAACATCCATATGCACCATCTATTTGACCTTTTAGCAGGTTTCCAGGGTCTTGATACAGTGAGCCATGACCCGAGAATTCTTGGGAGTATCGCAGCGAGTCTCCAGGCGCAAAGAAGATGATGGAGAGAGAAAGAGAAGAGAGGAGCAGGCCCTTCGCCCCTTCGCCCCTGACAGTGGGACACTGTCCACACATTCGCCAAGATGTTTGCAGCTGATGTGAGTTCCTGCACATGTGGAAGACATGGCAGGAAAGAATAAAGAGAGAGGAGGAGAAACGAAAGAAAGAAGAGGACCAACCTTGATGTGGCCGGGGTGGACAAAATTGTTCTAAACATCCCAAGAAAAACAACATACGTCGAAGACTGGCACACCCCAATCGGATGATTCAAGAGTTAAAACGACTAGCACTAGCAGGTATCTGGGTCCTGATTCTTGACGCAATAGCAGAGGCACTGAGAGTGCTCGGTGACCAGCCTGAGTTGAAACTCAGCCAGAGATCTTTCCAGAAACGACCTGGAATAGTGTGTTTTCCCTGAGGATTTTTCATCATTCCTTGCTTCGGTTCACACACGATAACACCTTCAAACGGGTGATTTTTTCTTCCAGGGTGTTTTGGCAAGATAGATAGGTGGATAGATAGACATCTTTCTCGATGATCTTGAGCTAAGCCTTGGGCCAAGCAGGACATGCGACGTCGCGAAGAAGAGCTTCAAAAGAAGCGCGACGAAAAGCGCCGCGTGGAAGAGGAGGTCAGCTTTTCTCAATGGATTGGTGGGACATTTGGAAAAGGAAAGTCCCCATATTTAATGGGAAATCGATGGTTGTAGATTTTCCCTTAAGCCAATCCATTGATTTTTCGGCTGGAATTGTAGGTTAGAATCCTGTGTCGTTTTTTTTGGTAAGTGGATAGGACAAGTCACGAAAAAGCGCAAAAGATAGGGCCCCTTAAAGTGATGGATTTCAATCTTGCATTAAGAGAGGAGCCATTTCACTCTTCGGGTCTTCGGGACCAGGAACGCAAGAAAGTTGACGAGGAAAGAAGAGCCGGTGTCCTCGGCTCTTTGCAGAAAAAGGGTTGAGAATTGGAACTTGGATCACCCGCTGTCGGCAAATTCCTGCAAGGTCTCAATTAAAAAAACTACCAGCTGGTCTCAACCAGTCTGAGAAGACTGGATGATCTGGATGATTTCAGAATTGAATTATAAATAAATATGGTTCCCTCATGTTCCCTCCAAATCGCCAGTTGAAACTCTTCATCGCTACTGATCATCGCCGCTCGTCTCGGTGTCTCCGGAACGTTCGGCTGTTCCAAGGCCAAACTGGCGGAGGAAAGAAAAAGAGACGAGGACCAATCCTGAATGGCACCCAATCTATTGAACATATTGCGAGTGTAGTAAAAGCTGCAGCTTTTACTATGAGAAACCACGATTTAATGACATATCATATGTATATGTATGTATAACATAGTATATACTGTATATAGTATAACATATGATACATATGGTATATATATAATATATATATATATACATAATCACATATGATATAATTATGTATATATATATATGTGTTTGGTATAGGTAAAAAAACATCGTCAGAACAAACCACAAGGAAATGTAAATTATGTTCCTCAGTGAAGTGTTTTTCTGAGGAGAGGCGCAAGGAAGAAGAGGAGCGAAACAAGGAGGAGATGGAGCGCCGGCGACGTGAGGAGTGGCAACGGCACGAGGTGCGACCTTTTTTTTGGGAATGGATGGACTTGAGACGATCTGATGCTTAAAGGAGGATATCCCCTACAGTATAATTATGATGGATGAGTTGAATATCATTTAGCATCGGCAATCATCCCAAGAAATGTTGATTTGAAGTTTAGCAGTTCTTTGAATTTGCCCCGAGTTCTGTTCTATTCTGCGTTTTTTTTTTCTTCTCTTTTCTTAAACCACATTTCTTTTTTGGGCCCACGAAGTGTCATTTCATCCAGTGGAATCACGACAGGAAGAACTCCAGAGGAAGGCTGAGGACGAGAAGAAGAGGGCAGAAGAAGAGCAGCCACTTCGATCATGGGAGTTTAACATGAAAAATGGTAGTTGAACGAGTCCGAATACTTGGGATTTGAGCCACGATTTTCATGATATTTGACTGAACATGGTGGTTCAACCATCAATGTAAAGGGATAAAAAGTGTGAGATTAGTGGGGATATACTGGGATATACACCAAGTATGACACGGTGTGGTTGTTTGAACATGGGAACCCTACGTTTGTGACTGTGGAATCGGGATGGAGAACATTTCACTACAAATCAATTTGGAAAACACTTGATTTAAGTAATTGACATCACTTCAAGTAGAATACGAATTTGGAACAGGCAAAACCGGCACGGGATGATCATGACCACTATAGTCACTATGACTACCACAAGGACTGGCTCATAGGGTTGATTGAGGGTCAGGTAACATGCAAAGAATTTCTGGGACATTTCACCCTTGGTTGGTCAAGTTGATAGTGATGCAAAAGCTAGAGGGCGAAAGGGGTTGAGAGAGCCCAACATTGAATCTCGGGATGGTGGTTTTGCCATCATGGTTGGGATCCTCCTTCTTATTCTGTTTTGTCTTATGATTTTTCCTGTGCCGACCAGGATGGGTACCCAAGTAGAGTACCACCCTAAACCATGCAGCCCAGGAAACGCCGGGAAGAGGAAGCTCAAGTCTTGCGACAGCAGCAGGTGGGATGTCATCCTTCCTGGAAGATTGAAGATATCTTGGATTCAGTTGCATCACTGAGGCTATTTTGGGTTCCAACTCATTCATTGATTATCGTGCATTTAAGTTGTTCTGGTTGGACAAACAAACATGGCCTGCAAGCGCAATGGATCGCAATGGACAACCCCTGGTAGACCATGGTAGAATCAAGAATGGACCATTTCCTCTTGCTGCAAGGGCAATCCGTTCACGTTCCCATTTTGCGACCGACACGAGGCGACCCTTTCGGTTCTGCGTGTTCTGCAGAAGCTCTCCAACGCCAGCAGATGAGCTCAGATCCAGAGGCTTCATCTAAGACTCAGCAGATGTGGTATGCTCTTAGACTCTAAGTGGCAATTTTAAAAGGGAATATTATAATATATTATAATATGATGTTAATCCATTGGGGGTACCCTATTTTCAGACTAACCCATTTGGCTTGCTGATGTCTGACTGCGATTCGGCTAGACCTGTGAAACCTTTTCAAATCCACAGTGCTTAGGCGCTTTGTTCACCGCTCCTCTGGATTTTGCCCCTGAACTCCAAGTGTTCCCGGACCGTTTCCTAGGCCCCGACGACTTCGAGGCTTTGAACAAAGAGCTTGAAGAGGTCGGCTGCTTCCGTTTCTGATTCTGTGAGTGTCTTGAGATAGGCAAGACCCCACTAGTTGGAGATTCAAAGTTGGAGAAATCTGCTGACGTTTCATCATTTTTCAGCATAAATTCATCACCCCTTTTTGAGGTACTGTAAGTAATTTAGAGCTATATAGCTGGGACACGAGCGGGGATCCAGGTGCTGGCGAATGAGCTCCCTGAAACCGGAGCTCAGCAGGACCTTCGGATGTGGATCCCTCCAAACTTCTGATGCCTATGGTTTTTGTAATGAACGTGGTGTGCAGCTGTCTGTTTGGATTGGAAAAATCTGCTTGGTCACTTGCAAAAGCCACTTTCTCAGAATCTAAAGATTCCTGAGTCTCGAAAGTTGTATTGGACATCATCAAAATGGCAATGTTTCAAGATGGCCCAAGTGATGGTTGTGACCCCTTTTAGATTTGAGTCATCACCTACCATCACCATCTCCATGAAGTCCATCATTGGGGTATCGGTATCGGGACCCGATTTTGAAGAAAACCCAAAAGTGTCCGGCTCCAAATTCACCATTTTGCCATGGATATTGACAATGACCAGATATGACCATGTTTTGCTGACCAGCCATTTTTCCGTACAAAAAAGTCCAGCTACATGATGTAAGACTTCCCAGCCATCTCATCTGCATGAGATCCCCATGATTGCTGAACAAGGCATACGAAACCCATGAAATCCTCAAAAAATTGCAAGATTCGGCGTCAAAGGAGATCCTGAAAGCGGAAGCTGACCGCGTTTTGGAGTATGCCAAGCAGTACGTGGAGCAGGTGGAATCAGGGTTGGAGGTAGTCCAGGTGATGCAAATGGATGGGTGACACCAACAATTAGCCCACTAGGGTGTTCTGCTCAGTGAGGATGGCAAGCGGATTCCGATCGCGGGAAATATGGTTGTCTATGGGTATCTACTACTATAGACAGTTCTGCACCTCCAGAAACGGGGACAGGGCTGGATGTTGGGTTCAATTTGGAGTGTATAACTTGGTAGGTGCGAGAACAGCAGAAGAAGTGGGAAGAACTGCGGGAGCAGCAGCAGGGGAACTCAGCAGCAGCAGCTGAGTGAATCAAAAAGGGTTGAGCCTGGTTGAATAACTGAGGGGATCGGAGGGATTTCATCAGAAATCACCCAGCTTACCCGGGCTTACCCGGGCTTACCCCCTTCCCCTAGAGCTCTCATGCTCTCATGGCGACTTGGTGAAAGCATACGAATGACAGAGTCGGGGTATCCTAAATGGTTGACATATGTTGACATATGTTGGCTATGTCCCATTGATGCGACGCATCATATCATAAAACCCGCAATCCTCAGCCGTCTCGCGTCCGTCTTGCCCACTTGCCAGCTACCCATGGTCGCCATGGCCATGTTGAAAGTCACAGCGTTGATCTCCATGGTCTCCATGGTTGCAGGGCATGGCGAGGCGCCATCCCACGCTGGATGCTTTGTGAGCAATGGCACTACCATGCTGGCAGCGGCTTGGACACGACGAACCGGGGGGGTTGGACCATTGGAGTGGGGACGAGAGAGGGCGTGGGATGAGAACCGATGTGGGGCAGCAGTAAACACCATGAGGGCACAGCAACCATCAGATGTTTTACCATGTTTTACCTATTTGCTGAAGAAATAAGACACATTGGAATCATTGGATGGTTCACAGTGAGCAATTTCACCTTTGTTGGTCTGTTTGCCCTGGACTTCCCTGGTTTGCACAAGCAAAATAGCTGGAAGTTACGGGTCTTCACGCACCCATTCTGTTACAACATGGTTTTTTGAAAGTAACATACTGTAGATTTTCCAGCCCCAGCCCCATGTCAACGTCTACATTTTTGTGATCATTTTGACAGGGCGTTGGCCCTTGGCTTTTCATCAGCCTTTCTCCCATGACCAGCATAGAAAAATCCAAAACATTTTCTCAGGTCAAATATCATATATCAAGTTGATTAAATGTCCCTTGTATATCCTTATATTCCCATGATTACCTTCATATTTGATCATAGGTAAAATCGGAGGATTTTGATGATTTTGATGATATTTTTCAGGTTAAGCTGACCTATGACGGCTACAAGTTCGACATCCCTGGAGGCTGCACCAATGGTCGAGAACCAGCCACCCGAACCGCGGAGCGCGAAACCTTCGAAGAGTCGGGCTACCAGGTGCCAGGACATCAACCGGGTTTAACGTGGTTTAACACTTGAGGAAAACATGAGGGTTTTAACCAACTTTTAACCAACTTTTGAAACTGGAATTGTGAAAAATCCACACGCTGCGAAAATCAAGCATTTGAACAAGGGCTACAAAGGGATATTATATGATACAATATGATATAATGATATAATGATATATATATATATAATAGAGGTATATTATAGAACTATTTAAGCAACAATATGATTTGGCGTTGGAGGAGATTGATCGGATTTTGGGGCCAATTTCGAGACACATTTGACCCGAATCTAGGGATTTCACCGCAAATTTGGCCAGTGAAGAACAGGTTTCTAGGTCAACCTTGGATGGGTAGAAACTAATCCTGTAATCTTTGCTACACATAGGAATATCATGGAATATCTACTAACCAGCTAAAAATTTATCATCTTTTGCAGGGTATCTAAGACTGGCAATGGTAGCCATTGAAATTTTCAGAGATCTGTGAGATTTCGATCGACCAGGTGTCGATCGGCGAGTTGTTGACCACAGTGCGCGGGGGTTTCCAGATCTACAAGTGCTACTTGCAGGGATCCAGTCCCCAGAAGGGCCCAGATCATGAGGCGCGGAGGTTGAAAACACCGAGGTTTCAAGCTATGTTTTCGACCCGCCTCTAACTTTAGCGCGGCTCAAGACACTTGAATCCTTTGCTAGATGTATCTAAATGATGCAGGATTTGATGGTAGAGTGGTAGAGGATTTGATGGGGCATCAGTTGGACCATGGATTCCCATGGATGATGCTTTTTTCAAGGAGACATTTGGGACGCCAAGCCTCCAGGAATTGTTGTAGACAATGGTTTGGATAAGAAAACACACCCATATCCTTGGCCCAGAGTTAACCACGGGGCTTGGCCCATCATCAAGACATCAGCATGGTTTCGTCTGATACTATACTATACATCTATTTGTATATCAGTATATAATATATGTATATATATATAACCGTATAATTGATATATCCATATAATTTATAATTGCAAAATCTATAATTGTTTTTTCCCCAAGTATTCAGACAATCCAAAAAACACCAATCTAATCCGGCTGAGGTGTCTCAGGTAAGGTGGATGGATGCGGGAGAGATTGATGCACATTTGCAGCACCACGAGTGGCGATACCAAGATCAACAAGCAGCTTGGCTCACCTGTGGTTTGGCTGGGGCCCTATAGATGAATAGATCCACTTGATTTGACACATGTACTACGTATACATTCGTAATTACATATTATGTACACATCTAATTATCTTGTAATGTGTCTGCAGAACAACAATAAAAATACGTATATACGTATATACTTATACACATATACATATATATATATATACATACTATATGTGTATAGACATACATATCTATGTCTATATCTGTATTTTTGCTATACAATTTACATTTGTACCACGCAAATCCGACATGATTCCCTTGGACGTTTACTCCCATGACGTTCTGAAGCAGGCTTCTCCTCCGACCCCTCCGCTCCGAAGGCATATCTCTACCTGGACTGGCTCCTGGGCAGGGAGAACAATCCTCACCGACGTCTCATGGTGCAGGTCTGAGCGCCGCGCAGGCTTGGCCTGAAAAGGCGGCGCAGTTCGCAGCTTCGCAGCGCGCACTGAGACAGCCTGATTTTTCCCAGGAAGTGCCTAGGTGAGAGCGGAGTGTCTAGTCACCGTTTCTCCAAAGATCTTCCCAAATTCGGTGCATTTTGGGCATTTTCTTGAAGCAATCTGCTTTCAATCTCATTTTGGGGCTCGGCAATAACCTCGCCAGCCGGGTTGCATCTCTTTTCGCAAAGAGGCACCACGATCCTCAGCCATGTACACAACGTACGTCCTGATAATTCGAATTTTGGCCTCAGTCTGAACCCGCAGACAGAGGCAAACTTTGCAGGGGTACCCCTCCATCAGAGTGAAAATTCACCTGACTTCGAGTGGTCGAATGATCCGTTTTCAAAAAAGGCCTTACAAAGATGCGAGGGCCGCGAGGGCATGAGTTGGCGAGATCAGAGTCAGGACTTGGCTAGGCCAAGATTCTTACCGCTCTCCTCTGAGGTTCACTAGTGCCCATCTCGTTGTGCTTCCTATCTCAGCAATATCCAAACTCCCTGGTGTTTGATGGTCGTGTCTTTACCAACAGTTTCATCGGGATTCTCATCAAATTCAGGGAACCGCGCAATCAAACTTCATTTGCCCAAACATGGGGGTTACAATGAATAATTCTCCAAATTTGCCATTGAGTTTCTGGGAAAAAACCGGTGATTTTCGCAGGGAACCGGGGTTCCTTGGTGACACTTGGGGTACATCGTTCCCAGGCAGAAGAAGCGCGAAGAACTCGAAGCGGCCGCTCGGAGCGCGGTCCAGGAGCTTCAGCAACTTGGCACCGAAGGGCAGCTGTGTATCTACAATATTCTACAATCATAGACATGAAAAAATATGAAAATAGATATATATATATATATTAGACTTGACTCATTTGACTCAACTCAATTTGATTTGACATACATCTCTCTCTCTCTCTATATATATACACATACTGTATATAAGTACATGTATGTGTACATAGTTGGATGTATCATATCAAACCATCGCCATGAACGAAAACGCTTCATTTCAAACGCCGTTCTGCGCCTAAGGGCGCTGGTGACCTCGGCAGAGGCCCTTCTGGGCTGATGATATGTTGATGATGTAGAAATCTAAGGTTTATGAATGGATATATGATATATGATGTATGATATATGATATATGATATATGATATATATATATATATATGTGTGTTCTCCAAAGGAGGGGCATACACGAACACCGGGTCCGACCGAAGCTTCAAGCTCAAGGTGGGTTCTCGGTTGTTCCCCAGACCTCCCAGTGAGGGAGGGGAGCTGGCTGGGAGCTCATCTCAAGTGTAGCTTGGGGCTCATCCCTGAGCAGTCCCGCTTCCCTAGTGGACAGAAGACTGAACGGGGACTGGGCTTTTTGAGCTGGGCTGGCCGGACCCTTTAGTGGGGTGGGCTGGCAACAGCTTTGGTTGGCCGGGCCCCTTTTTGTGGGCGGGCTGGCGGTGTGTGAAAGATAGTGGTCGTTGTGAGTCACTTTTCAGCTGTTGGAGGGGGGCCTGAGGGGGGATAGGGGTTTGAGCCCTGGGGTTCCACTTGCAGCTGAAGCTCCCAGGTTGGCGACGGAGGAGCTAAAGAAAGAGTTGATGTCAAAAGGGGCGACAATGGCCGATTGATGTGAGTTGATCACCAATGGCTTGCAACCCGAGGATCAGCTGTGGGTTGAGTCCAAGAACTGGCGGGGCCGTGTGATGGAGTACCCGTAGTGTAATGAGAAGGGACAGTATCATGGAATACGGGTGTTACACAAAAGGCCGTTGGAGGTGGAGAGGGGGTGAAGAAGACCCGCAAGTGAGGCTCCCCACCTTCACACGGGCTATCCCCCGGCCGCCACCACCGGCGGTCCCGGCCGGCCTGGACTCCTGTGATGAAGACACAGTGAGGAGGTGGCAGTTAGACAGCATGATGTTTCCACCCTATGCAAACCGGAAAGAGTATTTGATCGAACGAAAGGCCGACCCAGTGGATCTGAGGGTGGCGTCAGTTACAGAGAGAGAAAAACTGATGGGCTTCCCCCCGGGATACACGAAAGCCCTCTTGAAGAAAGAATTTGAAAACCCTGCAGAAGCCGAGGAACAACGGGTTAAACGGACGGCATGACGTAGCTTGCCTCCTTGACTTGTGGCTTTGGAGCAAAGGGGTTCGTACAGATCCGCTTGGCGCGCATTTCATCGTGCAGGAGTGGCACAAAGAGCTGGGGGCCCTGAAATGGAAGCTATTGGTGACAACTTTTCCGAATTGGGTTCACAGAAGACAGAGACACTGACGCAGCTGGAAGAAGAGGAAATCTTGGGGGCCAGTGAAGGAAATCAGAAGGCAGAATGGCTCCGGCTGGCAGGTCATGTTGGTGTCAGCGGGAAAGCTGCAAACTTGCTGAGCATCAGGTTGGTGATGAGTTTCGTGGCTCTGATGCGAGGTTGGATTTGGGGCTCACATGGCGCCCTGAGAGAAAGAGAGCACATCAATCTGTTGGAACTGCGTGCAATACTGCGGGGCCTTCAGTGGAGGGCCCGAACGAAGCGGTTCTGCTCCTGCCGCTTTTTGCACTTTGCTGACAGCCAGATATGCCTGGTTGTTTTGTGCAAAGGAAGACCCAGCAGCAGGAAGATCAATAGAATCCTTCGCAAAATCTGCGCACAGTGCATAGCTCTCAATCTTTACCCCCTATGGGTGTGGGTGGCTAGCCGCCTGAACCCTGCTGACGAACCTTCAAGGAGGTACGAGTGAGTTAGGAGGAAGCAAAAGTACCCGAAAAAGGCACATGGGCAGCAAGATAAATAGGATGAACAATCCACTACAAATCCTTGGTGTGTCAGGACTTCTTTAGGGAGCTGGCTGAATTCATTCGTCTCCAGACTGCAAATTTTGTAGCGGGGGACAGGGATTACATTTTGTTGTCCATCGAATGATGCTTTCGTGATGCGATACAACAAAGACCGAAGGTATCTACGCACTATCTGTGCCGCCAGCTCACCGGAGTTTGGGTGACCCGTGGCCAGACTGGCGCTATTGTGGCTGCCTTTGTATTATTGGGTGTTTCAACTGAGGCGTAGCAATAATTTTCTCTGGGCTTTTTAGGCCTCAAGCGTTTCACTGCATGCCATTTTCAACTCTGAGCAATTGCTCATCAAGGTGGTGGAATGGTATCGCCATTTTGTTGCTAATTAGACCAAGCTTCGCCCAAGTTTCTACAGGATCACCTCCAGCCTTCCTCCAAATATCCGCGCTGCTCGGGACGCGCGGAGGGGGTGAGTGAGGAAGCTTGGTCTGACTTTGGTAGCTCAACTTTTCAAGCTTGAATGTATGGAGCTTGTAGCCTCTTAGTCAGATGGCACCTTGGCCTGGGCACAAAAAGTGCGCTGTTCAGTGACAAGGAGGGAGGCTAGGTAGTGTAGTGTACATATATAGATATGATATAGATACATGATATGATATATGATAGGTTGATAAATCTCTAAGGACGCTCCAATTAGGATCTAATAGCTATTTGACTAATATCTGGATTTCCTCCTTGGTACCTAAGAATCATCTAAAGATCCTCGGGTATCTAAAATTATGGAATTGTTTTTTAATTATATATATATATATTTATATAATCGAAAAACAACATTGAACAATGAACACACTTTTTTTCATTACCGTGTCCTGTGAAGGGCACAGCCTTTGAGATCTGGGTCATGGAGGGCTGGGCTCGAAAGTGAGTCTAGGGCCAAGTGGTTACAAAACCTGAAATTTGAGGGTCAAAAACTGTATTCTAAAAAAATGTAAAAATACTGGACAAATACTATACGAGATTGTAGAGGTTTGGATTTTTCCTTTTTGAGGACAACGCATGTGGCATGTGTTTATGTTCAAAGTTTGAGCGAAACGCTTGTATTGAATACTAAGGAATCACTCCCTTCGAGGAACTATCACATGGAATGCCGCTTTGCTCAGTTCGAATTCCTTTGACATTTGACAGATTCGATACGTACAATGTAGTATATACATAGGAACACATATGTAGTTCCATATGTCGTTCCATATGTATCTGTATATATATATATACATACGTGTGTATACATATATTATGTATACACACGTAAAAACATTTTTTAAATACTTTATATATATATATACTGTAGACATAGTTACATGTATAATTTCCACTCCTTGAGGCAGTGGGGACCGCGCAAAGAAAGAGTCGTGGAGTTTCTGCCAGGCTGCAGCCGAAGGGGCGCACTACACTGCGGCTCCATTGGTCTGGGCCATGGACGTTTCCAGAAATGGGGGATTCCCCAATAGCTGGATGGTTTTTGTTGGGGAAAATCCTAACATCGATGAGGACTGGGGATAGCCCTATTTATGGAACCCCCCATTTGTTGTTTGATTATAATATATATATATATCACTAAGTCAGAATTTCGGTGACGAAACGTCAAGATTTCTCTCCAGAACATTCCCATGGAAAAATGACAGACTCCACTGGACATCCACAGGTGGATTCAAACGAAGACTAAGGTGGGGTGCCCACCATCTGATTGGAGTTGGGTCTCAAGTCCCAACTCCAAATCATATATAAAATATGTACTAATCTTCATTTACTAGTCAGATATCAAATCAGTTACTAATCATATATCAAAGTATCAAACATTTACCAATCTTCGCTGAATCACAGTTAAGTCAAAGCGTCCGTAAGCGCAGCCCAAGGCTGGAGACAATGAGATGGAGATCATCGAGGTTGCAGACATTGGGCACTGAACAACCGGAGATCCATGGGTTTTGAACAGGGAGATGCGATTTGATGTACCACCGAAATGACCAACAACACCAGAACAGAAATTAGATGAGGTGAGAGTTTGAGGCTGGCCACTATTTGGATGTTGAAGTTTTGATGTTTGGTCACTATTTTCAAATAGCCTTCCGGAAAACAACACCTTTTGCTGAAGGCTAGGCTTGCTCCAGATGTGTCCCGCAGGTGCTGAAGCTGTGCAGAAAGGTCGAGAAGACAGGCCGAGTTGGGTCCGAGAACTGAGTTCGGCATTGATTGCACCGGTGAAATCATCAAAGCAATGGGCAATTGTTTCTCAACTTTTTTGACTGATGTATAAGTGGAATAAACAGAATAAACATCAATCCATATATTTCCATATCATCCATAAAACATCAGATCTCCCATCTTTTCTGATTGGAAATCTGCCACTGAATTGTCTAAAACGGAAACTCATGGAGGGTTTCCCGAGCAACATGGAGCAAGTTTGGTAACTTCGCCGTCCGCGATGGTCTTGGTGAAGCATCTTTAGGTTCAACTTCCAGCGTTCGAAATGACCCCTGAAGCTAGTTGTTGTAGTTGTAGCTGGTCCACAGGTGAAATGAATGACATTTAATGAAATATGGGCCTGGGTCAAAATTAGACAGCCAAAAATCTGCCCTGAAATGCGTGGCCCCCTGGGTCTTGGTTTGTACTATGTGTATACGACATACATGTATATAATTGTACCAGTAGAACCGCACAAGGCGGTGGCGGAAGTTTCAAATAGGACGCTATAGGAGAGGTGAGTTGTTGTGATCATGGATGGCAGAGCGAATCTACTGAAGGACCGAAAGGTGGTTGGAGTTGTGTTTTTTGGGGTGGCTGCAATGGTTGCAGCGGTCACCTCACCCACAACTGCTGGATGTAGTGTGGTGTAGCGCAGTTGTAGTTGTAGTTGTAGTGTAGTGTAATTAGTGTGGTGCAGTTGCAGTTGTAGTTGTGGTGTGGTGTAATGGGCGCAGTGCAATGTAATGTAGTGTAGTGTTGTATAGTGTAATGTAGTGTAGTGTAATGTAATTAGTGTAGTGTAATGTAGTGGTAGTTGCAGTTGCAGTTGTAGTTGTAGTTGTAGTGTAATGTAATTGCGTGTAGTGTAGTGAAGTGTAGTGTAGTGTAATGTAGTTGTAGTTGTAGTTGTAGTCGTAGTTGTAGTTGTAGTTAGTGTAGTGTAGTGAAGTGGAGTGTAGCGTAGTGTAGTGTAGCGTAATGTAATTAGTGTAGTGTAGTGGTGGTTGTAGTTGAAGCTGCTACAAAACTGTCAGATTTTGCTCACTTTTGGCGAGGTGCAGAATCCCTTGCGCCTGCCACGGAAGCCACATCTGAACCTTCAAAAGTGGTCCGAGCATGTGGTGTTTTTAACATTTTGACTTGGAAATGTGCTTCGCGCCACAACCGCGTGCACTTTTTCGACATGTCAACTTCCAAAAGTGGCCCGAGAATGGTGTGTCTTGTGCATTTTGGAAATGTGCTTCGCGCCACAACGGCGTGCAATTTTTCATCTCTCATCTGACCACATGGCTCCGCGCCCGCCGCTTTAGCGAGCCTACTTTTCGACCCTCCGGAGCCACAAATCATTGGAAAAAACACAGTGTTTCGCGACATTCCTACCTTTTCGCGCCCCTGCATCTTCTTTCTTCTCACTCTTTCTCTTCTCTGATCTTCTCTCTTCTGCTCTTCTCCTCTCTGACTCTTCCCACCTCTGCTTTTCCACCTGTCCATATTGTCGGAAGTTTGACTTCTAAATTTCCTTCGGTTTTATAGATCAGATCAGATGAGATCAGATGAGATTAGATGAGACTTGGTGAGATTTGATTATACAGATAGGAGATAAGACAGAAAGACAGAAAGACAGAAAGAGAGAAGGAGAGAAGGACAGAAAGACAAACAGGCAGATGGACGGACTGCTAGACAGACACATAGATAAACAGATCGATAGATATCCCAGACTTTTTTGGGCATTGCTCCAAAAAAATCCCTGGCCGTAGTGACTTGTGTCAGGCAGATCCGCCATGACGTCGTGTCAGTCCTGCATCGATCTGCTGGCCAGCAAGAAAGCGGTGATCGACGAGGCGCTCGAGGATGGTTGATGGCTAGTTGGGGATGCGCTTATGGGGATGTTGAATTCTAAAATATGCTAACAGGGGTAATACCTAGGAATATCTAGCAGATCTCTTTGAAAATTGTGGGGGTAAGATGCCCGATTCCACACATTCTGAAATTTCCGGCAGTTTTCTGGCAGGCAGAGAATATCGAATCCGAAACCTCTGCCGCGGTATCTCAGGCGGGATCAAATCCAAACTGGTTTCATTGGATTGGTTTAAGGGAAAATTTACAGGAAACCCCCATATTTCATGGTAAAAAACATAGATTTTCCCAATGATGACTGTTTTTTTTCAAATCTCTTTCATTTCCATCTATGCCTGAGATGATTATCCCCAAAGACTAAACCTGCAGGCTGCTATTTCAAAATCAACCATGAAAACTTTGGGTTCCCAGAATCTGGGGACTTCAATCCACGATACTTGGATGTGCATCTTAGGAGTAAGTGAACAGTAGCAACCCGGATGATCTGCCAAATGGACGGTTTAAGGCTTTTTGCGACGAACTTTGTATTTGGATAACCAACAAAAAACACAGGAACCCCTGAAAGTTACTGACTAAAAATATGTTTTCCTTGCACAACAAGATTTTCCAGAAAAACCAGTCCGATGATACATTCTTACCTCCATTTCCATACTTGGAAACCTCTAGGAAGTCATGTAAAATCCGAAATCCCATGGGTTTTCCCATGGTTTTCCATGGTTTTCCATGGTTTTCCCATGGTTTTCCATGGGATTCTCATAGGAAATGCCATGGTTTTCCCATGGATTTTTCGTGGCACCAGCTCAGACAGGTGCAGCCTCGGATCCAAGCTGTTGGGGGCTACAGTCTCTGTGCCGGTTGATGATGACGTGTCCACTGTGTGTATACATATGTTATCATATATGTTCATGTCATGTATACATGTATAGAAAACAACACAAATACTCTTACACAATGATGTAGTATATATATGGGGATGGGTCAAAACCCTATCCCCCTGTAGTTCACATCAAAATAGCTGGTAAATGGATGTTCATCCCACTAAAAATGGTATGTATAGGTATTGATCCATAGCCATATGTATATATATATATATTATAACTTACTCCACATCAAACAACATACGCAATTTCCGCTCCCCGAGGCCTCGATGCTGGTGTCGGATGCCTTAGCCAAGGCGAAGGACAACAAGGACCGCATCGTTGGGAGCTGAGCATCCCACCAGTCTTAGTTAGAGATGATAATTAGATGCTAATTGATTAGATGATCTGATAATATCTGATGATAATAGTTACATTTGGTATAAAAATTATAGATGAGAATTAGATGCTTACCTTTTTCCCGTTTTTTTCTGGGTGGATTTGGAATGAACTTGATTGAAACTTCGTGTTTTTGAGCAGATCCATGAAGCCACGTCTCACCAAGGCCAAGCGAATAGCGACCGCGAAACGCACCGAGAAGAGGGCTGAGCTCTTTGCCAAGTACGACCAGGACATTGGGACATTGGGACATTGGGACATTGGGGGGTTTGGAATGGATTGGACTATGGTGACTATGGCTGCCATCTGCCAAATCACACCTGAGTCTGAGGTCCTCATCACCTAACGCAGCTTGTTTTGGCCAAAAGGGAACAGCCCGCGGTTACCTCGCCGCCCATCTCCGAATGCCTCCGCAGCGGCTTCCACGTGGTATTTTGCCTGGACCCTGGGCGCTGATCCTTCAAAGCTTGGGAATACCCTCTAAAGCCATTGTTGGGTCATGTTTTTTTGACTTACGACTGGATTTAGATGGAATATCACTACCCAAATGATGGGAGTCCCGATCAGCCATCCATAGTGACTTTCTGCTTCGGCGTGAGGCCTGATGGCATCGACGTGCCGGAAGGTACTGCCGGGCTCTCAGAAAGGTGCAAGCGCAACCAAGAAAAAAACGAACCAGATGCGAAACTTTGGGGGTTTGTTACTATGGGGAAAAATTACTACATAGGATTTACATAATTATCCTATAGGTTTATTATAAATCCTAATGTTTTGGTCAAAACTTTCTACAGGAAAAACATTGGCTAAGGATATCATGCAGTTCTGTCGGGACCTGGCTGAAAGCGGCTTGGTGGCAGCCAAGTGAACAGCTGCTTGCCCTTGGAAGGTGATCCAGGCCTTGAAAAGTAGTAGATGGATGTAGATGGGATATACCTAAAGATTTGGGTCAACCATACTAATGCGATATAATGCGGATAGATGACCAAGAATATGAGATGGCTTTGGCACTTTTATACGGTGGAAAATGATTCAGTGAATCATTTTTTGTTTTTTGGGTCCCCATGGGTCCCCTGTCTTCAGGTCTTCAGACATCAAAAACTTTGGGCATGATTTGGAAATGGCTGGAGCAGGGATTTCACCTACCATCTCCAGTTATGGCATTGCCAGACAGTTAGCCATGGAAAGATCCACCAGGCTATTAAGAACGGTAAACCATCTATTTCTATGGGCCATCTATACCATGGTGAACTGTTCAATCACCAGATGGTATATAGTGGTGATCTACTCCGCTTCAGCATGTCCGCAGCCAGGTGGAGCAGAGTTTGCGGAGCAGTTCGATCGCGAACACCCCAAGTTTCACCAGGGGAATCCCACAGCTCCTTGGACGACCCTGATGTAGGGACCATTTTGGGCACCCTTTTGGAGCTGATGGGAATGACTCGAAATTTTGTTGGTTCCAACTTGGCGTTTGACCATATTTTTTTGATGATCGGGTAGGACGACTGAAGGCTCTTTTTTCAATGGCTAGCTTCTACTGCACCAAGAATTTTTCACAAATTACTTGCTTTCACCAAAACCAATCAGATGATTACCATCCTTTCAGGTTTATCCGATAAACTGAGGCGGTTCCCTTGGGTGGAGACCGTATACCTGAGTCGCTGGCGGCCGCGATGGGTGGAGAGGCTAGTGAAACTGTTGTCCAGTTTTGGGGGGAATGTCGTCAACCATGGATCAATATTAACATGTGTGTGATTATATTATTTTTTTTTGGGAGGGGTTACCCCAAGAATGAAAACATTGACATACATTGACTACTTAGTACTATTCAGAGGTTTGGTGTGACAACTGGTGATTGTTTTTTTAGAGGTGGTTAGACCGTTAGACCACCAAAATGATATATCCATTATATCCTTGACCATTCAGCACTGAGATCCCCTCCCCCCAAGTCAACCGTTTCGGGAATCTATGAAGCCTGGGTCGACATTTTCCCATCCCTCCGCAGGTGGGTTTGGATCTTTGGTACCTGAAGATATTGGGGAAACGAAATCCGCTGGGTATATTGGGAATGATGCTTTGGATGTTGGGAAATCATCAATGAATATATGAACATATTGGGAAATTGATGATGCTTTTCCCATCCTATCATTTGATGGTCATAAGATGATTTTGATGGTCATATGTCCAGGCAGACTCATGGACCATCCGCTGCCGCTACTGCCATTTGGCAGGCGCAAGTGAAGAACTGGCGAGACCTGCCAGATGCGCCACTGAGCCTGGAGGTACCTGGGCCAGAGATGGGCTAGCATGATGAGAGATGTTTTCTTGGATGATCCTGGTGAAACATGGTGGAAAACTATGAAAAAAGGTGGGTCAAACTTAAGTCTCAGTGAGGTTTCCCTTGTTGAAACTTAAGCTCTTGGGTGAGTGATGGCTTCTCTTGAAAGAACTGTTGACGTTCGCATGGAAGGCCAGAAAACATTGAGGTTCCTGGCCTGGCAGGACGACTATGGACCGGAGTACAAGAGATTAATGGACGCGCATCGAACTTTAAACGATTGCAAGAAGGCGGGCGTGGCACAATAGACGTGGCGGCATGTCAAGCTGGCATTAGCAAGAGAAAATAAACCACAGTTGATCGAGATCTGGAGGACCAGATGCACATCACTAGTTGGGTCACAAGAAGCCAAGTCCATCTCGATCTCTGACCTGCCTGATGTGCAAAAAGGGACACTGTGTCATAGGTGTATAAGTGTCTCATGTTGTCTCCAAATCCATGAAACATGAGATTTCTGTAACAAGACAAGAGACCAAGACAAGAGACCAAGACAAGAGACCGAAAAGAACGCGCACACACACATATATATATATACACATACATATACATACATGCATGCATATATATATATATATACAATTACGCACATTTGATCATATTATATTTGCATTGCCGATGTGTGTAGCGAGATCAATGGGAAAAGTTAGCTTTATTTATATTTTTTCCAACAAAAAATGGTTGCACAACCCACGTAGGGGTCTTTTGGATGCTTGATTCTGATGACGACACCCTGAATTCAGGCGATCGCCGTGGTGAACAAGCCCGTGGCTGCTGGGGTGGCAATGAAACTTTTTGGGAGTTGGGTCCTGACCCTGAACATCATTTTTCTGGAACCTGAAAATTAGGGCTTGGAAGAGAATTTAACGATCTGATTTCGGACTCCAAATGGTGTACACACCCTTGGATCGTTACAGCAGGTAAGAGTGAATAGGAAGCATGGTTGGTAAGTCCTCAAAGTCTCAGTGTTTTCTTGACCCTCGATAAAAACAGAATCGAGTAATCAGCCAGAATCAGTCATAAAAATGCCATAGTTCTCAACCAGTCACCAGTCGCCATCAGCTTAGGAGATCGCCATGAAACTTCGGGTTCAGTACAAAGAGGCTGAGGCGAGATTGGGGCCCAATAACTTGACCATGGGACCGGACCATGGCGGACCATGGCGCAGGGTGAGGACAAGTCGGCCTATGAAAGCAGACTCAAAGGCTGGATGCACGGGCCCGGCGTTTTGTGAGAGTGATTTATTATGATTTATTGAATTTACGTTTTGAGACTGTCAAGTGTTATACTAGACATTACTAGGCATAGCGAAGTGCTAAAGACTGAGGAGATACCCGGCGGACGCTCAAAATCGCTGGATTTTGCCCTTGGTGCAGGTGCAGAAAACGACCGCGATGGGGCACTGGAAGCTGCTACAGCTACTGGGACATGCAGACGGTTGAAAGCCTCCAGGTTTGAGCCTATTTTGATCGCCCCAAGTGGGGTCGACTTATTGCAAAGTCAGAGTCAAGCAGCCAAGGGCATTGACAGCAGGATATGCCTTTGGCTTTACATCCTCAAGGATTTTATCAGAATCTCTTGCTTCCATCCTGCTCCATTACTTGCCTACCTGATCCTGTCCATTGCATCTAAAAACCATTCCCAGTTGGTTGGAAAAGTGGCTTCACTTTTCAAACACCCCCCAATTTCAGATAATGATCTCAGTTGACAAGTTTGATGGTAGTTGTTTCCCATCTCCATTTTCTGTTGCTGATCTCCTCATGAAGCATCGGCAGTTCTGGGCAGTTCTCCTAGGTGACCATCCTCAACATGGGATCGGATGTGATCTCGGATCGCTGTAGGAACTGTGTGGAGGATGTCGTGAAGAAGGCCTTTTGGCGATCCGGCTGACGGGTCTTGGTAGGTCGGTGATTGTTGGTTGCTGCTTGTTGGTTGGGTATTCCGCTTCAGTGTGTTTTTTTCACACAATGAGTGTGAACTTGACGGTCCGAAATGGTTGAGATGGAACAGGCATAGCGGCTATGGATTGGGGGATGAGCTCTGAAGCCAAGCCAAAACTGGCAGGGGAAGTTTGAGTTTATCGACAAAGAGACCTACGGCGAGTATATCCAGGCGCCCCTAGGGGAACCAATCGTTCCCACACATTTTGGGATCTGATGCGGTGTGGGTGTCATGAGAATATTCTTGGGCATCACTGAATCGTCCGCAAGTGAAGTTTGAGTCCATTTGAGAAACAGGTCAAACGGTCAAACCATTCTTGGGAAACCACGTTTTTTTTTTGGCATCCCAAAGTGCCTTGGAGCCCAGTGAAAGTTCCTTAAGTTGATGGAGGTCTTGAAGAGAGCCAATCAAGAGATTTTCATGGATCAGAAGAGAATCCTACAGAAGATCAAGGCGAGCTGGCCGCATTTTCACATTGGGAGAATGTTGGGAGTTGGTTGTAGCAACATGCATTGTGTTTGGGTTCCCAACTTTGGGACAGATGGATGTGTCCAAACAAATTGGTTACCCCGGTTACCCCCAAATCCAATGGGCTTTTGCCATCCTGGAGATCCAACCCACACGTCAAGGAGATCAAAAAAGCTGTCAAGGAACGAAGCAATCGCGTCGATGAGGCGCTCCAAGCGGGATTTTGAGCGATGCCGCGCTTCTGGAATTCCCAGCAACGGCCCAGCAACGGCATTCCTGTTGCTTCAATATCAATTTGCTCCGTTGATTTCCCGACTTCCGAGTTCTTGGGTGTTTGAATCGCCAGCCCTTCGCGACCACAGGACTCGGCAGTCCAGGCAGAGGCCGCGCCCGGTGGTGCCTAGGGGACCTCCCCGGCGGACAAGGATCCGCTGAGGATGTCCCAGCTGGCAGCTGGACTCCAGTAGTTAGGGGGGGGAACTCCTCCAAGCTTGGAAGATGCAGATTTTCATGTTTTTTCTTCATGTTTTTGGTGGCATAAATGCTATTTGCAATGGATTTTTGGGATGACGACAGATTGATGAGAGTTTGATTGGATCATTTATATCCTGGGTTGGAGGTGCAAACAATTTGCAACTAGGAAGAGGATTGGCTCTTCCAAGTGCGGCAGAGGAGTTTTGTTTCACGGATCTTTGGTGCAGGAGCCGCAAATCAGTAGCTCGAATTCGAGGCAAACAAGCATCTGCTGCTGCGACAGCCAGAGCTTTGCACATCAACTACTACAAGAGTTTTTCATTTTTGCGCAGGAAGTTGGGGACCCCTCAAAATGAGCCAAGACTTCCCACATCATGGGGATGAGTTAGTCACTTGACATCTCTGATTTCAAGGCAGTCACCCAGCATTTGATGTCAGAGAACATGCGTGTCACCTTCGTTGAAAAAACCTCCGCAGCCGGTTTCGGAGGGACACACAGCAAAAGCGAAGTCCCATGTTACGAGTGGCTCATCGATTCCGTAGATAAGAGGGATATATAGTTTGATGTTTCTACCTGTTTTTGTTTGACTGACGTGATTTCTACCGTTTTTTTTTGACTGACGTGACTTCCCTCCTACCCGAGATTTTGGAAACATCGAAATGGACCAACAGGCAAAATGAGGTTAATGGGCCTTGGGAAGTCACCTCACTAGCCATCAGGACGGTGATGGGCTTTGGAACCGGAAGGAGATTGCAGTGTCTCGCCTGTATCATCAAGCCATCAAGCCCTAGACACCAATCTATAATCATCTATAGTCATCTATAATCATCTATAGTCATCTATAATCATCATTAATCATCATTAATATTCATTAATAATCTGTATAGTCATCCCGGGTCATCCCTATAATCGAATTTCATCACAGGTTGCTTCAGCTCTTGTATTCACCCGTCACCGGGGTCACCCGAAAGCAGGACATGATGATGTTGTTCTGTCATCATTCCTAAACACCTATGAAAATCGGGCACCCTAAATTTGGTTAATCAATGTTAATCATCATGATCCCTACATATCCATTACATATCCCCACTATTCAACAGCCTGAATCAGGCTTAAAAAAACATTTTCAGACGCACACGCATTGGTTCCAAAGCAATTCAAGCGTCGGTGGAATGGACGGGATTTGTGAAAATTCTGGGGGGGTCATTGGATATTCCTAGCAGTGACGTCGCTGATCTTCGGGTTTTGACGCCAAGGTTCCTGAAGATGTTTACAACAAAATCAACCCAGTGACGACCGGAATCATTGAATCATGGAACTTCGAACCCAGTTCTATACATGCATTACATTACAATGCATCACATTTACAAAAAACTTTCATTTACATTTATATGACCTTGCTGTACAGAACAGTACAGTAGTACAGTACGGGACATGACATATATGTACTGTATGTATAGTATATATATACACATAGATATACATAGCATATATATATATGGCTATGGGTCAATACCTATAGATACATTTTTAGTGGGATGAACATAGCCTGGGCTCGAATGCCTACCAGAGGTCAGGCTGTGCCAGCGGAACATTCGAGGATTGGAAGAGCCATGGATGTCACATCGTTTCTAAATGCCCCGGTGGGACAGAAGGTGAGTTTGCTTGTGGAAATCAAGGGTTCCGACGATTTCTTTTCGCTGGGATTCGAAAGTCCTTTTGGGGAACCAGTTGCCTTCCTTCATGAGGGAGAGAGGTATGAGGGCATGGTAACCCTATATGATGTCAAGCACACCGGAGTCAAACACCTTGACAGTTGGATTTTGGAAGTTGATGGATATAAGCCTCTCAGGTCCACCCCCCTTGACATAAGTGATATGGGTTATGTTCACGATGTCTGTTGTGGCCTTGGTGGATTTAGCACGGCCTTCCAGCATCTCGGCGTTTCTGTGGTTTCAGCAGTGGACTCATGCGAGCTTGCCGTGCAAGCCTTCCAGTTGAATCATTCGTGCCCAACGATCTGTGGTGACATCGCTTCTGTTGATGTTCTTGTCCGTATGCACACATGTCAGCTTGTTTGTGGCCGACGCCCTGTCATATCAGCTGGCTTTCCATGCCAGCCACTGTCGAGGCAGGGTGCCCAATTGAGACAATGGGACCAACGCAGCAAAACATTGGGATCCATCTTGCGCGCCGCGCACCTCCTGCGCTCCACCGGATTGTTCCTAGAATGCGTTCAGGAAGCCCTATCCGACGATGCAACACAGCGCCAGCTTCAAGAGTTTGCCAACATGCATGGGTTTGCCGTGTTTCAACGTGTTTTGCATTTGAGCAACATGTGGCCTTCTAGGAGAACAAGGTGGTTTATGGTGATGCTTCCGTCTGAGTTTGGTGAGTTTTCCTTTCCAGCATTGCCCCAGTTGCCAAAGCCACCTTCGGTGATGCAGCTCATGCCTTTTTCACCATGGCCAGCATGGTCCATGCAAGATGAAAGCCAACTCAGCTGGACAGAGATGGAGGAACAGGTCTACAATGACCCACAATATGGATCAACCAATCGATTTGTTCAGACTCAACATCCCCTACCCACAGCGTTGCACTCATGGGGCAATGCCCTGTATGCTTGCCCATGCAAGTGCCGGGCATCTGGACTTAGCCCTCAGACACTCAGGTCAGGAGGTTTACGAGGTTTGGCAATCGTGTCAGGATGTTGGCCGCACAAGACACGACACATCCATCCCAGAGAACTGCAACTTTTCCTTGGATTCCCACCCTTTGAGAGTGTCTTGAGTGATTGTAGGGCGCAACTTTGTCTGTACGGCAATGCAGTGTCTCCCATACAGGTCATGTGGATTTGGGCGCATGTGATGAAACAGTTTGGACTTTTGCATGGATTTCCAGACAGCACAGAACCATTAGCCCAATACATTGACATGGTTTTGTTGCAGCGTGATGTCTCATGGCCTAGCCCCTCAGTTGGACTTGGCGACCTGGTCCTTGTGCATGAGAACGCTGAGGTCACACTCAGGTTCAACACTTCACAGACAGTAGGACAATTGCTGCAGGCAGAAGCCAATTTGTGCCAGGAGTCCACAATGGTGTTTTTGAAGACTGAAGGATTGACCCTGCCGAACTTTGCTTTTCTCCAAGAACGCACGTATGAAGTGTGCAGAACGAACGCGTCAGCGGACACCATGCTTTCTTGGATTCCGGTTGCAATTGAGTTCCTTGGCTGTGTCTCTGTGGTTTGGGTTCCCCCTGGTTTGTCTTTTCGGCAGTTGCTGTGCTGGGCTGGTATATTCCAATTTGCACGACTTATGGATGAAACATCCAAAGACATCTCAGCGGATTCACTTGTGGAGCCTTGGAAAGTAGTGACAGTTCAGCAGGACCCTGATGATGTCTCGTTTGACTTGAACATGCTTGAAGGGTTTGGCAACATACATGATGGACTTCCAATTGGACTTTTACGTACAACTGAGTCATGGATTTCTACTGGACTTTGGCATCTTGATCAACTGATCAAATCTCAGTTGTTGCTCACATGGACGGGGTTGGATTTTGCACCTCTGACCGTGTGGTTGCCGTCATTTGCTGAAGCTGTCTTTGAGTTTTGGCCATGCCAAACAGAGGATGACCTCAAAGCGTGGCTTGCACCCACAGATACGCAGGTGTATGCTTTTGTGCGTGAGAGTTGGGGTTGGAGCATGTTGTTCATTGCCTTGGATGCGCGCATGACACACATCACATTGGTTGAACCAACTGGACATCTTGCAGTCACCTCACGGCTTATTGCCCAAAGAGTCGCATGTGTAAGTGGCCGACCATTTTGTGAAGAACAGGTCAAGAAAATTGAACCCAGTGTGCATCCCGAGCAATCGCTTGAGAACGTCATGAAATGCTTTCATCATGAACTTGGACTTTCTACTGCTTTGATTTCCGATGCAGTGTGCTGCACACCCGAGATTGCCATGTCTGACTGCCAGGATATTTCACCCACAGTGCCAATGACAGCAAGCAGTCTTTTGGTGAAGCCAGGTCAGCCACACGTTGCAGAGGCACCATTGCAACATGGACTAACAGCCAGGTTTTTGTTGAAGTTCGCCAGAGCTTTGCTTGGAAATTACCCAACCCCAGTCAAACCGGAACAAGTGCAGGTTTTGGTCATAGGTGACATGGATTTTTTCCCCGCGGGATGTCATCTTCGCACATGGCAGGCTGAACAGGCGCCACTGTTTCTTTTCGTTTTGGTTGAGAAGCATTGGACTTTTGTGAAGTGCGACATGCATGGAACACATCTTGTAGTGCAACAGTTTGATGGACTTGCTCACACCAGCATTTCGGAGTTGGCTCCTCTTTGCGTCACATTGAAACAAGCATGGGGTGCCGACAAAGTGACCATATCGACCACCTGGGTGCTTGAGCAGACCAAAGCTGATTCATGTGGGACTATCGCGCTAGGTCATTTTGCTTTGAGCCTGGGTTTGATCACGTATGAGCAAGCCATGCACTTTGAAGCACTCCATTCCAGTTTTGCAATCTGCAGCAGCTTGGCTGGATCATGTGGGTTTGTAGGATTTGGAATTGAAGAGAAAGTGAACCATGACCTTGCGCAGCTTTTGCCCGCCAAGGGAGTCCCTGAGGAAAATGTGAAAGATCGCATCCAAGCAGCCTTGAAGGTGTTTGGATCAGAAGCCATTGGGAAGGCGCTCCAAGCCAACAACAAGTGGGCAGCCTTGAAGCAACTTGGAAACAGCCGCCCACGTCCTTTCATGTGGGTCACCAATCAGGAGCTTCAACAGCACATACAAGATCGATCGCAAAGTGAATATGGGGCCAAACTTGACATCCGAAAAAAGAAGACACAGAAAGAATACAAGAAGCAGCCTGCAGCTGCGCCTCAGATTGATCCAGCGAGCCTTTTTCTCCCACCAGGGTTGTTCATTACCAATACAGGGGAAAGTGTCCCACAAATTCCCTTGGAAGCTGTTAGCAAAAACTCACGAGGCATTGCTTTTGCCACACCATCGGACGTAGCACAGTTTTTGACAGATGGCAAGATGATCAGCACAGAAGCACTGTCGGTGCTGGTGATCGGGACTCTTCCTGAGTCCGCTCCACAGTCGCTCCCTATGCACAGCCTGCAAGTCCCTGCAATTTACCGTGGCACGGACGAACCCATTCTGATAGACTGCACAACCATTCAACTAGGAGACCAAGCAGTGTACAGAAAGCAGAATCAAGCCGCGCCTGAAGTAGCTGTGTATCCAACTGCCGTTTTCAGAGTGCACGTTTTCCGAGATTTGTGGGTAGTCGACCAACCATGGGAAGATGTGGTGTCTCGACCAGTGAAAACCCTGGTCCAAGCTTTCGACATCCTCAAGCTGTGCAAAGCTCAAGATTGCCAAGGTTTCTGCGGTTTTTGCCATCCATCATGCGAAGAAGAGGGAATCGAATCAGGCCTTCTGGACATTTGGGCTTTTCATTGGCATACCCTTGATGGAAACAAGACGCCACCACCAAAAGCCGATGTCTTGTCAGTTTATTTTCGTGTCCCAGAGTCCAGTTTCCATTCGTTGCATGTCACGTCCGGCACATATGGGGTTTTCTTTGAGCCCAGGCATAGTGACAATCCAGGTCCAGATCCTCGCTATGCAGTAGTGTGGATGCCACCATGCACTTTGGCTGAAGTCATGCATCGGGTTAAAACGGTTGATGAAGGGATTGCAGCATGCCGCCTGGGCAACAAATATGG